AGACCTCGACAGGGCAGCCACACTAGAACAAATAGGGGAAGACATCGACACGGCTTCGGTGTATACTACCCAGAGTGAGATGACGGCGGAAACTCACAGCACAGGTGTGGAGGAATCTGATGGCCTCAAACTAAATGAGACAATCGACCCACCGAATTCCGTTGCTCGTGATTCGCCTTTATTCGTCTATGGTGTCTCGAGCAATAGAATTGGCGAAGCATGTGCCTCCTTTCTGGCGAAGTGGGGGTATGACCTACTAGTAGATGAAGAAGGACAAGGTTATGTCCAATCACCAAGCCCGAGTATTCCACACTCTTCTGGGGACATTCACAGACCCACTATGAACCGTCACTCGTCTTTCACCACTTCTTGGCGGTTGACTTCTTCCCCGCCTCGTATTTGGTCTGAAGGCTTATCTCCCGAATGGGTCCGCGGCATCATAAGTTCGGACGAGTTCTTTGTGAAGAGTGAGCTTCAACGATATGATGTAGCAAAGCGGGTAGTGGAAATGCGACGCCGGTTGCGAGGCGCGCAGGAGGCCGAAGAGCGTGAATGGCGACAACTCTTTGAAGATGGTATCTATTACTCTCATCTGGTGAGTATTTTTCTACAGTTATACGATTCTTCGTTGAAATTTATCGGCTATAAAGACTTGGGAAGAACTCTTGAAGATTTCAGAAGATCGTTCTCCCTCAACTAATGAACCCTACGTTCCTTCTTCGTGCCTACAGCGCGCATTATGGTCCTTCAATAAACTGAGAAGTCAGATTATGAAGTCCGGTTCGTCGACTAGCATGTCAGATCTAGTTTCTAGTGGGCCAAGGAAAGGTCTCCAGCTTGGCTTCGCGAGCACCTTCTCCGAACTTCCTGTCATATCAACAAATGACAGCCCGGGGAAAGATTCTCCCTTATGGCCCGTACCTGCAGATACCTCCCTGCGAATCGGAGATCCTGGTGAAACCGCTATAGCAGACATTTCGACCAACCTGTCCGAACCTCGTGACAAGTGGGGCCATCGGCCTCTATCTGTCGATAATTTTTTCGGTATCGGACATCCAAAGACAACCCGAGAGCGCATAGCAGTGAAGTTGTCCGCTGATGGTGCAAACACCTCAACCAAATGGGTACCCTATGAACCATTCCGGTTTTCTGTCGAGTTCTGGGGAATCAACTCTCTCAAAGAAAAAACGCGGCTGTATTCTCATACTATGTGGTACGCAGGCTCGTGTTATAATGTATATACACAAGCAGTCAGGAAGAAAGGTCTACAACTGGGCATATACCTTCATCGACAAAGCAACGTTGATCCCATACCGGCTGCTAGTGCACCTCGTATTTCTTCTCCACGATCAGGACCACTTGTCTGGTCTTCCTCTCTTCCGCAGCCAATCTCACCTGTCTCAACGCATACGATAATTTCGCCCGTCTCTCGACCACATGCTCGATCTATCCCTACATCCGAGCCCTCAGACTCAAGGGGACACACTGCTGCTCCGCTCAGCAGAAGCCCGCCTCTTCGATCCTCGACCCCTGTGGCAGTCCAGCAGCAACCCAGGTACATGCATTCGAACGCCTCATTCAGTCCTTCTTCACCGTCTGCTATGCACTCCCCTGCTCCGCAACCACTGACCGAATTCGCAATTAATGGTGCGTTTAGTTGGAATACTATCGTTTAGATTGGGCTAATAATTCTTTTAGATTCACAAACTTCTTCCAACGCTGTCCCGCCACATCAACCCTATCGTGATCCTCGTCCAGCTATCTCGGCGTACTTTTCAGTAGGATGCCACTCCGCTTCCGGCTCTAGTTTGACCAGGTTCTCCAGTGGTCCTGATACGGTGAGTGACTCACTCGAACTTCGATGTATATTCTGAATATGTTCCAGTTCGCAGTTTCTCAATCATGGGGGTGGAAAAGCTCATCCCTGAGCATTGGCGAATCGGCCGATCAACAAAGTACACAGGAAGCAACTTTGAGGGCTACGGTTGTTATAGGATTGGTTTAAGTCACATTGCAGTGTCAATATGTACAATCAGTGTTTGTCTCAGGATATTATGACCCTATTGAAATGTCCAAGTTGAGGAAATCACCTGTGAATCATATGAGCCTAGCTCTTCGACCATATTACTCTATTTCAGCTGTCCCCTTCCTTAAGAAGGGTTGCCGGATAATAAGTCAATGTAGCTCTACGACGTATGCAAGATACTCATATGGCCCCGGCAGCATATACATCATAACTCCGATAAATGAAGAAGGACTCACTTATCAGAGAATATCAGATGTATTCAACTCTGGCCTGGGAGGTTGTGTTTCTGATTTCTTCGTTGGTTCCTTGACAATACCTTTGTGGGCCAACTCAAAATGAATATTTATATCCTGCCTAGCTTTCAAGAACTGTGCCATGTGCTGCTGCATTAGACAAATGGCATCCTTAATTTTTGCTTCCCTAGGTTGTAACGGGTGGGCATCCTCCGCGTGTAGACGAGAACTTGGCCCTATATTGCGTAGTGTGTCGTAAACCAGCTTATTCTGAGCGCTGAAAAAAATGAGCTTGAAATAGTGGAGATGACGAACAACTGACTCACTTGATGGCATTCAGCCTGGCCATAGTATCTTCTATCGAACGATGATCGTTGTCCACCAAATTCTTCATTGCCCTAGATCGTTGCTTCTGGATATCAGCTTTGAATGCATCTAAGCAGACCATAAAGTGAGGGAGAGGGCCACGCAAAAGAGCTAGATATCGACCCGGCAACTGAAACTGTCGAGTTGCTTCGGAAAAATCATTGAACCACTGGTCAACTGGGCGTTTTGCCACTTTCCCAGTACGTCTTCGGTAATGCCGATATGTCGTCTGAATATTGCGAGCGGCTATATGCTCCTTTTCTGAATATTCTTCCTTTAATTGAGACTCATCGATAGCCTCAGTGAACGGACGATCGGGCAATGAATCTGTCGGACCCTCGTCTTCATTTGATATCTCTTGGAGAGAAGCACCTTCCTTCTGTGTGCCCGCAGCGAATGATAACTGGCCCTTGTGGTCTTCAATTTGGTTGAGAAGCCCTGGCTCAGATGGCTGTAGCACTTGAGCGGTTGCCAGATTGCTAGAAGCTTGACTCTGATTGCTGAAGCTGGCGTCTTCTTGGGATACTTTTGCTCCATCGTTCTTAGGCAAATGTGCTAAGATAGAGTTTCTGGGTACAAACTCTTTAGCTTTTGCGTTGAGATTGGATTTGAAGAAAGGTGCGACTAAGGGAGAAGTAGCAAAACCGAAGAAGAGGTCTACGGGTCGAGTGAATTGCCTCTGTGGGACTTTTCCACCCAGTACTGGTAACACAGATGATCCTCTTCTGATAAGTTGAACAAGCGCATCCGATCGAGATGCAGCTAACGTTCTAATGGTAACCATGAGCAAGGACTCCCAGGTAAGCGCATGAATAAACCTAATCAATACAACGTATGAGCGAAAGATACGATTAATGATGAAAGGACGCACTGGAGGGGCCATGCAGTGTCACCCGGATTGAGATTCTTGTCTGCAACGATTTGTGTTATGCCCCCAAATATTTCTGTTATCCGAATGACGGGATCATCGCAATTACATCCAACTGTCCGAGAATGTTAACTCCTAAATGTATATCAAGCTTTCAATACACCGACCTAGTACAAGGCAACGAAAGCTGATGATTTGGACGTCAAGACGGTAGTTATTCCGTATGTTTAGGTAAGTATACGTACATCCTCTCTATGAGCATTCTTCTATTTATGATCCGGATCGATGTTTGCAAAGGTCTTTTGAGATAGAAGCGGTCTATTAGGAGTGAGTCGGAATCGTGTTTGTAAGTGAGGGACAATTACCAGAACCTCGGTTGATCTCTATGCACAATTGTAAAAGTGGTCTGAGAAGTTTATCGATAAACCTTTGTAAGTTGGTAGTCGGCCATATCCGTCTTTGACCTAAAATAAATAACCACGATTGAGGTATAACGAGGCCATGAAGAGCACGTTTGAGTCCAGCAATCAGGAGTGTTGTGACAATTTCGATCATAGACACGACAGAGTTCAACTCTAGTTTCATTTCGGAAGCAATGACATGCCTGTGTATGGATTAGTGATCGACATGAATATGGAAGATTTTACCAATTACCCTAAGAACGCTACACCAGCCTCCATTGCTTCGTTACCATGGGAAAAAAGGCCATTGAAAAGTTGCAAGAACAAAGGACGATGTCCTTCTATATATCCATGGATAGGTGCACGACCAATTAGCCTGCAGCGATGTATGTATTTGGGAACACCGTAATGATCTACAGCCTGTGGAACATCAATATCCAGGAAGACTGGGAAGCCGGTGAAGTGCATACTGAAGCTGTCAGAAATAGCTGTAATATATCGGCCACCCTTGCACGATCTGAGGCATAGACGCCTTCTTGGATCCAATCCCGAAGCACAGTCAGTCCGTCTATGATTCGAAGATCTGGTTTACTTGGATCGGTTACAAGATCAGATAACTTCCCAGCTGCCGAATGTTCTGGATAAATCACGTCCATGAAACGCGTCATCCACAAACTACACCATTTCTTTTCAGTATTCAGAAGAAAGGCCAACTTCCAAGCTTACCGACGAATAGAATGTCGTTCTCCAGATTCCAGTGTGATCCCCATGTTGTTTATTATAATCATCTGGGCGAGGAACATACGAAATCGTTGATTGAAAGAGTCTTTCATCTTGTCAGGAAGCACATGCAGATATGCACATGTATCTCCTTGCTTGCATTTTTCAGCGATATGAGACATGCATAAAGAGTTGAAGGCTCGTGATTTTTTTGAATCTTCGCTATGTTGGTAAATAGTTCGGCGAAGGTCATTCCTTAGGAGGTCTTTGATTGCTTCCGAGACATTTGAGAGTAGTGCTACCGATTCTCCAGCGTCTGTTAGCCGAGATGCTACGAAACTAGGTCCAGTGGGTCTCATAGTCGTCATGTAGTTATTGAGTGGGGACGACCGTCGTATAATACACTCGGTCCCGGAAGAGTCTTCCAGTATGGAATAAGCCAGAAGTTTTTGTGTATTAAGGGAGCTTGCCAGTTCGTGTATAGGCATGGTCAATAGGTTTCGTAGCCGGAAACTATATTCCCGTAATATGAAGAGTAGATTGTCCATCGTTTCTGGAGCAACGGTCGAAATGTCTCGTTTGTCCTGGAGAATATGCCAAGTACACCGTAATACTTGCAAGGCCTGGTTTTCTTTGACCAGTCCTCTCATCGAGGACACCAATGACTTGGCGTCATTATTCAGAATCGATCGAAACATTTCCACCTATCGGAAGATTCATTAGATAAATATAATATGCATGAGTATCTTACTTCTCGAATCCAGTGATCTGAAGCACTAGTAATTTGCGTAGCCAATTTGAGAATCCGAACGATATTTGGTCTTCTTTCCTCCAACACGGCGGCACCATACGGCAATTGTATCCATAATTCATCAAGGACACATTGTCTAGCCTTTTCTAGAGATTCTTCTGAACCATCTCGCAAGTATAGATCAATTGCTTCAGCTGCTTTGCCATCTTGAAGGTGAATATCGGCAGCTTCCCGGAACCGTTCGAGCTGGACGAGAATAGGAGTCTTATCGAAACCATACTCTTCGAGGTGTCCCAGAAGCTCTTCATCCGAGTTAAACAGTGATCTGGCCTTTCTAGCGATAGATGAGTATCCAGTGTTTCATATGAATGTCCTGAAATGGCATACCGAAAGGCTTTGTCTCGAACGTACACCACCTTGCAGACTTCCACGATTGCTGAAGCTACTATCTGGTCCACTTCACTTGTTTGGATGATTTCAATTGCGCGATCGAATTCTGCAGCCAATCTAGCTTGCTTCGCCCCCTTCGTAAATTCTCCAGCCATGCAGAATGAGTCTGACGCTTCCTTGTGATTACCTGCCTCAACGAAGCATTCACCAGCCTTGATATAACAAGCTTGACTTTGGGTATGGTCTCCAGCGGCACATTTGAAAAATGCCTCAGCTGCAGACGAGAAAGTGGACTTGCGTTCATCGGAGCCAACCTGCAGCAACCGGGCAGTTTTGCGTAGGTGATAGGCAATACAGATATCACGAAGAAGAAGCAATCCCGCACGCTCAAAGCAAATAGTTGCCTGCTGATAATTGGCCCTTGAGAATAGAATTCGACCCATCTTCTCCCATTCCTCACGAGAAGATGCCACTGTCGATGGATTAGCCTGATATATTGTCTATGTTAATAAAGAGGGCTATTACCAGCAAGTTTGGGAATGGTATCCCCAGACCTTTTGACTTCAATGAAACCTTTTGCTTCCCAAAATGCCTATGTTTTCGAGTTAAAAGATGTAATAACGCTGATTGGGTGATTACCTTCATCGGTTCAGCTTGGACAGAGTTATCCCATATCCACAAATGATTCCGAGCTCGAGTTAGCCCAACGTAAAGAAATTTCAGCTCTGAACAGACGCCAACATGACGAAGTTCATCGAAGGAGGGTGCAGACACCTTTCCGCGCCGTTGATCCTCGACTTCATTCAGTAAAACGCGCCATTCTGTTGTAATTGTGGAATCTTGGAAGAAGTTGTACAGCAAAACGTCGCTGAACTCTAGCCCTTTGCTCTCATAGAGTGTTCTGAAAGAGATCGGTATAAGGGGGAAATACATAGAACGTAACGCACAAAATAAGGCCAATATCTCCAATCTGTTCCCGTAAGCGTTCTCGTGCAGCTTCATTGCGCACCAAAATGCCTAGGAATGCCAAGTCAATGACATTGCGTAGTCGAGGAGTAAAGACTCTTACATTGCTGTGCACCAAATTCAATCCGATGTGTCCTGTGCTCTATAAGCGGAGACCTGCTAGGATATTATACTGGACTTACGCTTCACCAAAAAGGAATTGTTCATAATGGACCGACTCTCCGTCCCATCCGCTGAAGAAAACAGGTTTTGGACCGTCCACAAGCCCTTGTTCTCGCTCTAAGGTGTCAATCGAGTCTGGCCAGTATTTAGTCAGGAGCTTGACAACGGAGTGTGCACAATTGATAATTCCCCCATGTGATCTATAGTTTACAGAGAGTGTAAAAGATTTAGGATGTACGGCTTGGCGCGTCTGTCTGACAACCGATACATCTGCTTCCTGCTCTAATTTTCAGCCTCAGTTTGTTGCAAACATATGGCACTAACCTCGAGACGATATAATAGTGCAGTCAGATCTGTAAACCTGAAAGCGGTGGACGTGATTTGCTGAGCAGTATCACCTGCCATGAATATACCATGGGGATTGCGGCATAGTAAACGCAATACTGGAATGGAGTTTGGGTTTTGAAGGTTTTCCAAGTAAAGAAATGAACATACGCTTTGCATCGATCAGTAGATTGTCCTGCACTTCATCCACATAACTGTGAAGCGTCAATATAAGCCATGCAAATCAAGATTTCTGACTGACATATAGTCAAAGAGCTTCATTGGACGAGTTCCAGACAACGCTTCCAGTAAAGTGTGGGTCCTTGAAGAAATGGTCAGGCTGAACCGATGAAGGTAATCACCCAATCAGCGTTATTACATCTTTTAACTCGAA